GTAAGAAATATTTTGATGGCATTCACATCTATGAGTTGGCTCAGATTAGGGAATAGTACCAAACCATAGATCAAAAAAGCCAAAATATCTTCAAAAGCACGAAAACTCATGGTATCTAGGAACAACTGAGCCTTCTCTATCAGAAATGTAGTAAGAAGACCTTTAACTCCACTTCTTGTTTCCCAATTAGATACGATGTCTGATCGTTTCAGATGTTAGGCTGTTGCAGTATCTTCAGGTTTTGCAACTTGCTCTAGACTGGTGAAAGGTACCTGATCGAGGATAGGCACTCAGAGTAACTTAGAGAATTATTATATTGTGGGCACCAACTGATAATAAGGGAAGGTAAAACAATGATGCTTAGGATCAAAGAACTAGAACAGAACACTCATCGTGTCTTCTTTGAAACCGGGAGTAACCAAACTAAGTAGATGGCCATGTCTTTTGGTAAATTGAGAATTTTCGGGAACCTTTGAGACTAACTCCTCAAGCTTGGAAGGTACTCTTAAGAAGTTGATTCAGATAGTATTTCTACGATCGGAAGCCATGACCTGCAACAAAGGACAAAGATAAATCCCTAGATCCTTGAAACGGTTAGTGAAAATGTTATGATGTTATGATGTCATGATGTTATGTTCATGTTTATACAAGAAGTAAATATAAACAAATCACACAAGAGCCTTAGGTTTAAAAGCTTGCATGAGGTCCATAGGTAAGTACCCTTTTCTATTAGAGTCAAGTTGGCTCAACTTGTCCTAAAATAGTAACTGGGTTCTAGGGATATCAATATCACTAATCTTTCTCACAGGCTTTATTTAGTACAGAAAGTGACTTGCCACCAAGAAAAACCCAAGAGTCGAATCTCAATGAGCGTAGCATTGAGTATCAACCAAATTCGGACTGCACCAAAGCCGACTATCTCACTATCTTCTAATGGCTAAGATGGGTCAATTAAGGTTCTAAAATTCAGTTAGTGCTTATGACACCACGTGTCAGCCCAATGTTATCCTCGAATGACTCAAGGAACATCGGTGCAAACCAAAGTGTCGCACTAACGTAGTCATCACTTCAACCATATCGGTCTATATTATACAATTTCCATGATCTATTGCTACTTACCTAAGGCGTCCCTAAATTCGGATATAGGATCTTTACAAGTAATGAAACCTAAGAAACCCTTAAAGATAAAGCAGACAATGCAAATAAAGCAAAAGTAAAGTGATATAAATCCTTAAGGTAACCCCTCTTTCATTTTTATTCCCAACAGAGTCGCCAGTTCTATAATACGGTAGGAGAACATACTTGTTTTGGATCCTGCAAAATATGACAAAATGAAACAAAAGAAAGGCCCTATCCACCTAATTCGGGCAAGGCGAATCCAATGGTGATGTCCGTTTGTCCTATCAATGGAATCTAGCGCATGGGGCATTCATCTTCACATGTGATCGTCCCAACCTATTCTAAATGGTCTAACAAACACATATCAATGCACAAAAATAATTTATATCACATGAATAGAAAGTTTGTGATCTAAGGATATGAGCCAACTGAAGTAACGTGGCTGGTGAGTTCTGGCGCGTTTGAATGTGAGTTAATGACTAGAACAGATCGTTGAGACTCCCAGGAGACTAATGCACTTCTTAGTTTTTCTTTAGAGGGACTGGAAACAAGGGTTTGTTTCTGCCCTAGTTTTTTAAGAAAATTTTGGAGAGTTTGGGTCTATTTTGGAAGCAACTTCGTGTCCTCCTTGTGTCTAAATGTGGTGTGTTTATATAGAGGAATGAAATAGATCAAGACAAATGAGGAAAAGACCAAGTATTTAATGTATTACCAAAACCTCATGAAACATGTTTTTATTACTTGCCATTTTGAGAAGATCATGTCTCAAGTCTTATCTCCCACGATTTTCACAGTCGTCCAAGAGTCTTTGGGCCTCAAATTTGATCCAACACCAAGCCCACGTGTCTTAGCTCCTTAGTTTATTATTTTATTTGATTTATTTTAATAATATTTGCATAAAATTAAAATAAATTAAATAAAAAACATGGCCATGTACTAAATGATTTATAGGTCCTCTAACATGTCATAAACATGTTTAAACCTCAAAAGTTAAGGCCATTAGCCCAAAATTTCTAAATTGCTCAATTGAAGTTTCATACATTTCTCAAAAATTGCTCAACTTACACCAAACATAACTCCCTCAATTTTTATCATATGAAGGTGAGTTTTTAGTGTTTATCAGAACTAATTATATGGATGACTCATCCTTGAAAGAGATATTGTTGGAATTTAAATAGTTTTAAAATAGTTAATAATTACACTTAATTTTTTCATTTATAATATATCTTTTTTTGGTAATATTTTCATAACCATAACAAGAGAGAGTTTTAAATTCTCATGATCTTTTTCATAGATGGCATGTTCGATAACACGTGTCTACTATTAGGGGTGGTAAAATAGGTCATCCACTCTATCCCACCTTAAATCTGTTAAAAAAGGAGTGGGATGGGCAAACCTATCAAGTGGAAATGAGCATAAAAATTTAGCTCGTCCCGCCAAAGTGGGAGGCGGCGGACTTGCCCGTCTATTTTTTAAATTTTTTTTTCATTTTTTAATTGATTAATAGCTTTTTTTTACATTTTTATTAAATTTTTCAGTTATTTTTTAGAACCAATTTTTATAAAGCATATTTCTTAATAGATTTTACTTAAAAAAATATTGCATATATTAAAAAAAATGTATAAAATAAAACCATCAAAAGTTGAAATTACTAGAAATAACTAAAACAAGGGCGGACTTAGGCGGGATGGACTGAATAGATAGGTGAGGCGGGCTTTGACGAGTCGCGAACTTTGGCGGGGTGAGCTTTGGTGGGTGGCGGGCTTTGGCGGGCAACGGGTCCAAAATCCCAATCTAACAAGGATTTTACTTGTCACCCCCACAGTTAAACCTGGAACTCTCCAAAGTGTATGAAAAGACTAAAATAGCCTAACTTAACTATTTCTCCATTTTCCGAAATTTCTAGTGCAAAACCAAATTTTTCTAAATTCTACGACGATACCAGAAATTTGGAGGCGATATCAGAAATTCGCACAAAAAAGTAAGAATTTCGGTATATTTGGGAAATTTCCGGTAAATTTTCACGGAAATTTCAAAATTTTCTAAAGAAACTCACATAAATTTCAAGTATTTCTTACCGGAAATTTCAAAATTTCCAATGGTTTAAAACTTTTTGAAATAATCCAGGAAATTTTGTATCAGAAATTTTTAAATCACCGGTAGTTCAAATTTTTTTGAAAAATCCTGAAAATTTTAAAATTTCCGCTAGTTCATATTTTAACTAATTTTTTTTTTGCCTTTTTTCATTTTTTTCAGTGAGGACCAGGGGTAGCGGGTGCTCAGGCATGGACTGACGAGGTAGAGGCTTCCCAGCTACGAGTTAGACAATGTCCTCTGACTGGTTCTCACCAAAAATTGATGGATGAGCAGGTGCAATTCCGTGAACCCTGACGCCGTGGTAGAGATTCTATGGTTGTTACTGTTGAGGAGGTACAACCTTGTGTGGCTGAGGATGTACATGTACTTATTATTGATGAGGCACACACTGAGGAAGTTGTTGTTGAGCAGGTCAGGTGTATTGTTTCTGATTTTAGCCTGCTGGAGTTCAGCGACTGCTCACTGACCATGCTGGACGCCTCCCTCCTGTCAGCTTTTGTTGAGCGGTGATATTCAGAGACATCATCTTTTCATCTTCTATTTGGCGAGATGACTATCACATTGGATGCTGTCTCCTCTTTGTTTTATATTTCCATCGTTGTTACATTCTTAATGGGTCCTTATATTAACCAAACGACGACAGTGATACAGGCTGTATAGGAGTTATAGGTGAGTGAGGCTATGGTTGCGGAGTTTGGCTTTAACATGGGGCTTCACCTTTGGATGTCTTGGTTGAGAGAGAGGTATGACGAGCACGTCTTAAAAGGAAGGTATGAGGTTGCCGCTAGGGCGTACATGCTACATCTGATGGCATGTACTCTCTTTGTAGACAAGTCTCGTGTTTACATTGATGTTCAATACTTGTTGTTGTTCGTCAGTCTTCAATTCAATCAGGTTGTATTTCACCCTTTCATTTGTATCAATCCAATATTTCCGAAACTCGATCTTTCTCACCCTTCTGTTATCGGTATCAGACACCAATTCATTCAACGTGTCTTTCAAGTTGGCGAGAGATGTGGTGCCATCTGATAGCTTGAATTCAACATGAGGGTTGTTTATGTTGAAATACACTTCTGCCTCAATTAAAAATTGAGGAAGAGACATTTTTTGAGATGTCTTCCTCTATAACTGATGCTCCCATTTATACAAATTTATATTCATTCTACACCACACAAAAGTGTCGGTGCAATCAAAATCCTGGCCGTTAAAAAAATCCTAATCAATACACTACAGAAAATTCCAGGATAGAACAAAATTTCCGGTATTAAATGGTAAATTACAAATTTCCGGGACAAAATTATCATTATCGAAAATTTTAAAATGAACTACCAAAAATTTCATATGAACTACTGAAAATTTTGTTTGTACCGGAAATTCAAATGAACTAAGGAAATTTTGCATGTATCTAAATTTATACTTCTTTATCGAAAATTTCGTTTAGAAATTTTGTTCTCCTATCACCAAGGGCATTTCGGGAATAATGAAAAGTGAGGGTGCTAGGTTTAATTTGTGAGATGGCAAGTAAAATTCTCCAACCTAACTCATCATTTTTTAACAGGTACGTAAACCGACCCGATAGACCACGACTATCTACCGTTTATGAATATCAGTTTTTTTAACTCAATAACAAATATTTATTTATCATATAAATTATGGAGTTGTTCCTTACACTCTCAACTTTTCATAGAATTTGAAAATGGAAATATTATTTGATCATATGTGCAACAGAATATCTGCATTTTAGGTGAACAAACATGCATGCATTAAGCTGTACATTTTTTGACTCAAACCAATGGATTACTTTCGAAAAAGTTAGCTGGTCTGAGTTCAAAACCACCATGAACACTTGGCATTACTGGAAAATCTTCTTGATAAGGAACATGATGTATCCCTATTGTATGCCATACCACTATATCTCTATTCTCAATCTCTCTATTCTTTCGGCTCCAAACGGCTAACCCATCATCTCCACGGCTCCTATCAGCATAGAACCCTCCAGCCCATCTTTCTGACCTATTATAAGCAGTTACCCACACTTGATACTTTGTATAAGAAGCTCTTCTTTCTGGAAAATCATCATCACTCAACAGAGAACTAACCGGCTGGCCACTGATCAGCCGGTAACCCACTTCATTTCCCAGCTTTGTCATTTTATTAGGGTTGATTATTAACAGCTCAGCCGGCTCGGAGCCGAGGCGAATTCTTGCCTCGACTTCTCTTTTAGCTGGTTCTTTAATAACTGTCCAATAACTCTTCCTTGGTGTTCCAGACTCATTTGCTTTGACTTTTTGTAACTTTGCATTGATGAAAGAGTTTGCATTATCATCAATGTCAAGGTCAAGGTAATATGTTATGAGGTGATCATGATAATTGGCTATGGTGTTTTTTGCCACTAAGGTTCCAAAGACGCTTTCTTTTATTTGACTTTTGTGTGTGTATGATACTGCTTTCATTTCTAATACACCTGTTAGAGCCACCTATGCATAACACAATAAACTATTTAGGATAAGTGCAATTTTTATTTGACCAAAACAACGTATGTTACTAAAATTTATCATTTCTAATGTAAATGCTACTAGGATAGGAAAATGGACCCGGCCAGCCGGATATGTACGCTTTTCCGGCACGATTTTGCAAAGCGGGTCAACATTTTAAATCCGTACTTTTTAATATGTCTGTCTGGTCCCGTCTCATTTTCTTTTGTGGGTGTTTTTAGAGTTGTAAACTCCGCATATGCGCCTCACTCTCATTTTTTCACTCGATAGGGCAAAATTTTAGTCCGCTTTGTCAACTATGTCTATTTCACCCCATTTTCTTGCATAGCAACTCTAAACAAAAAAGGCATACCCGTTTTTTCTGCTGCCCGTTTGCATTAGGCAACAATTAAACCACTTACTAGTCAACCAAATAATTATAAATTCTAAGGTAAAAATTAGGAAATTGGATCTTCTGTAGTATGCAGGACCTTGAATTCATGCAGTCAGAATGCTAATAACCGTTAGATTGACATCAAACAATTTAGATTAATATATATTTGACTTTTAAAATAATATAAAATATTAAATTTAAAATGTCAGTCGTTCAATCTCGATCCAATGGCAACAATTCTATGACAGCGCAAATGTGTCATTTGCTTGACTGTAGTGAATTGCAGCCCAAAAATTAGTAGTGTGGTACAAGAATCTTACCCCAACTTTTATGCTGCCACTTTTAAGGAATTCCCAATCAAGAACATAATCATAGTTACCAACAGTAGCAATCATTCTCACCACCAAACTTATATCAACCTCTCCATCTCTTATCTACACAAAAAAATCAACAAATATGTTCAAACTTCAAAGAAAAACAATTATTGTTTGAATTGATTATCATTTGCGCACAAATACAGATATTAATATCTTAAGTTTCAAACAAAAAAACAAAAGATGTTATAACACGGTACAATTTAGGACAAACCTTACCAATTTTGTTGGATTATTGATTTCCATGTGTCTCCAAGCAACATTACCGGAATATCTTTCAAAAATGCAGATAGCCCTTGGTACCTGTTGCACTTCTCCATTAGGCCCCGCCATAAAACCATCCATAAACACTGCATTTTCAGGACAATCAACCTTGGGCTGCAAGCTATCAGCTGCCCGACCAAACCCAAATTCACCAACATCCATAAAAGTCCTAAAATACCATTCCAATGTAGGATCCATATAAGGGACAAATGTCTCAGACACATGTCCCCTATACATCACTCTCCTAAACTTTTGTTTTTTATCATCAAATATAGAAGCAGTTGATATAATCATTCCAGCTCTAGCATTAAACCCAACATGAAAAACCCAATTACCCCATTTCACTTCATGGTCTTTTATGGTAAATCCAACATTTGATGATATGTTACATGTAGCAAATATATTAGGCCTATTTTTGCTTGTAGATTGAAAATTTGTACCTTCGGCTTTCGGCATAGGTACTCTGTATCTGTCATTGTACAAAACAATCTTCATTGAATCAACATCAACTAGCAAAATGATTCCTTCAATAGGCCTAGCCCAAATATTAACAGATTCATCTCTATAAAAGCATGAAACTTTAAGAGCTCTCCTTGTGATTTCTTCACCATACCAACCAATTGTGAATGGTACACATGAAACTTCAGACAAATTCAAGCCTCTTTTGGTAATTGACTCTTTGAATTTTGAATATTTAAGAGGTAACTTACTAGCTCTGAAAAGTTCATTGAATGTAAAAGGAGGGTATCCATGACCTTTGAAGATTTCATCTGAGACAATTGACCCTTTTGTTAAGTCAACAACAAGCTCATGAGTTTCACCTTTGGCTCTAACAACTACCTTAGCTTGTCTAGGAATGTTTGGTTTTTCTTTTGTTGATGAAGATAACCACTTTAGAACATTGTTTTTGTTTGGTTCTTCAACATCAACAAAATGAAAGGTGATATTAGGAATATCACCAAGGTATGATTGTTGAATTATGTGTCTTGTTTTGTTGATTTCATTTGGAGAGAGAAGGTCTAAAGGGTGAGACAAACTATTGATGAAGTTGAATATAAGAAAAAATGCTAGCAGTTGACATTGTGCAATTTTGGATGGGGTTGCTTTATCAAACTCTGATGATTTGATCATTTTCTTTTCTATGTCATTGATGAGATATGTGTTATGCTCTCCATGTTCTATATATATAGTACCAAATTTAGAGTTATATGAAACTTAAGCTAAACTTTGATCTGTTTACTATTTATTTATTCATAGCGGGTTCCACTACATTAATGACCAAGTTAAATGATTTTGTGAAATTCCTTGAAGAGCACATAGAATTTGAGATAGAACATTTTCAGAATTTAAAATTATATATAGTATAAATGAAAAAGTTCTATTTCATTCATATTTTAATATTATCATCAACGCCATAATAGTATTCTTTTGGATTCTAAAATTTGGTTATGTACATTGTGACCAATGTTGGGGCTTTGTAGTCAAAGGATCAATTTGAAAAACTGTGATGAGATGCTGAAATTCTCGTTTAAGTAAAAATCTTCAAAGACTTTGCTGTAAAAGTGAAAATACTCATTCCCCATTTTAAGAGATCGATGCATGCGTATCCTTTCGCCTCAAATACATGGTTCCAAGATTATGTCAGCATCACTGTCAATGTTAGACAGCTTCAAGCTCATTTGAAAAGCCTTCGCTCAGTCATCTTCCAAACAAATGGAGTTTGGGATCAGGACTTCGTCATACAAGAAGTTTGAGAGGAGAATAGAGCTTGATAATGTTACAATAAATAATATTTTTTATAACGAAAATTTCATCACTTACAATAAAAAAATTGCAGGTACATGTAATGGAAACGCCAATAAAAATGACATAAATATATGTTTATGGTTTGAGATTCGATTGTCATCTCATGCAATTTAATGTTTTATATGGGTTTAAAAAGACATTTTCATTTTTTATATATTTTACGTCGGATATGTTACTTTGGTTTTAAGTAAAATCGAGATAACAACTCCCTGATTTTTTTTGCAACTAAAAAGACACCTTTATTTTTTATAGATTTTATATCTAATATGTTACCTCGATTTTCAGTATAAACGCGATAAATATTCTTTATACTTTTTTATTCCCTCAGTATCTGCCTCATTCATTTTTTGAGCCTTAGTGAAAGAACACTTCTTCCCAACCAACGAAAGAACTATATCACCATTATCCTCTAAGGAGCCATACCGAGCGAAAAGTTCTTTCACTATATGTTATTATTGTTGTTCTCCATTATTGTTATTCTTGTTGTTCTCCATTACTGACGTTCTAGTTGTTGTTGTTGTTGTTGAGAAGTTTTATTTTTGTTGGTTGGGTACTATTTTTTTTTATTTTCAGAAGCTTTATGTGATTATGAATCGTAGTTGGACGAAAGTAAATAGATTAAGTAAAGAGTATGAAAATGGAGTGTTACAATTTTTTGATTTCGCGAGAAAAAACCTTCCTGACAATAATGAGATTTTTTTGGTGTACATCCAAGAGATATTATATTCAACCATTGTGGTTGTGATGTATTTATTCAAAATTACACGAAATTGATATGACATAGTGAAGGGACAAAAAAGAGACATTTGTCACATACAGTTGAAGATGAAGTTGATGAAATTATGAAAAAATCAATAAGACATCATTCGTGATATTGGAGTCGATGTTTTCAAGAAAGCTAATAAGGTAGATATTTTACGAAGGGACGTGGAAGATTCATTGTATTCGGGATGTAAAAGTTTTACAAGATTGTCAGTTGTGTTAAGACTATTTAATCTTAAGGCAAGAGGTGGGTGGATTGCTAAAAGTTTTACTGAATTGCTTGAATTGTTGAAAGAAATGCTTCCCGAAGATAACACATTTTCGAACCGTACTTATGAGGCCAAGAAGATATTGTGCCCAATGGGTTTGGACTATGTCAGAATACATCCACGTCGTAATGATTACATCTTATATAGGAAAGATGCAAGTATATGATGTTATCGATGATGATTTCGGGTCCAAGACAACCAGGAAATGACATAGATGTTTATTTAACGTCATTGATTGAAGATTTAAAACTTTTGTGGGAGGAAAGTGTTAATGTTGATGATGCGTATACAGGTGATAACTTTAAGTTGTGCGTCATATTGTTTTTCATAATCAATGACTTACCTGCATACAATAATTTATCTAGGTACAACATCAAGGGTCATAAAATGTATCCTATATGTGAAGTTGATACATGTCTCCACCAATTACAAAAAGGAAAAAATACATTTTATCTTGTACATAAAAAATTTCTGAGGCCTAATCATCCATATCGTAGATTGCGAAAGACTTTTAATAGAGAGCAGGAGTTTGGTATCGCTCTAAAGTTGTTAATCGGGAAGTAAGTTTATAGAAGACAACAACATATTAATATTGTCTTTGGAAAGAAACAAAAAAAGCCCATGGAGAAAAATTCTTGGAAAAAGAGGTCGGTATTCTTTGACTTCAATATTGATCAAGTCTTGATGTAAGACATTGTCTTGATGTGATGCATGTGGAGAAAAATGCATGTGATAGTTTGATTGGAACAATTTTCAATATTAAAGGCAATACAAAAGATACTAAGAAATATCACGAAGATATGGTTGTGGTAGGTATACAACAAGAATTATCCCCAAAAGAAGTAGGAAATATATCCTATTTTTCCCCAGCATGTCACACTTTGTCTAAAAAAGAAAAGAAAATTTTTAGTGATTGTTTGCAGGGTATCAAATTTCTCCAATGGTATTCATCAAATGTGAAGAAACTTGTGTAAGAGAACGATCACAAATCAGTTGGCTTAAAATCTGATGATTGTCATGTTTTGATGCAACAACTTCTACCAGTGGCTATCTGTGGCATTTTACCAAGAAATGTAAAGATAACTATAACCAGATTGTGCTTATTCTTCAATGCTATATGTAGTAAAGTTATAGATCCTGAGAATTTAGATAACTTGGAACATGAAACTGCAACTATCTTATGCCAAGAGATGTTTTTCCCTCCATCATTCTTTGATATTATGGTTCAGTTAGTTGTTCATCTAGTAAGGGAGATTAGAATTTGTGGTCCAGTTTATTTACCGTGGATGTATCAGGTAGAGCATAACATGAAGATTTTTAAGGTTATACAAAGAATCATCATTGTTCAGAAGCTTCGATTGTAGAAAGGTACATCACAAAAGAAGCTATTGAGTTTTGTACAAACTATATCAGATGCGAACTTTATAGGAATTCCTGAGTCTCGTCAAGATGAACGTTATGATGGTAGAGGTATTCAAGATTTAAATGTTCAGACATTTAGTCGAGAAGTATTTCTTCAAGCACATTTGTATATATTGAATAATATTAGTTAAGTTGAGCCTTACTTGACCGCTCACAAAATTCTTGTAAAGGAAAGATCCCCTCAGATGAATGAAAAATGCTTGTTGACAGAGCATAACAAAACTTTCTTAAATTGATTTAGTGAAAGTATTTCTAAAGAGAGTGGTGCATCAAATACTTAAAAATGGTTGTCATGTATGCCTAAGTTTAATGTAATTACTTGGAGTACATACGACATTAGTAAATATTCATTATATACAAAATCAAAGGATGATTGTAGCACAATGCAAAATAGTGGGGTTATGGTTAAGGCTGAATCCATATACATTTCTAGTTCCAAAGATGATAATCTTGTACTAGAATCTAGAGCGTACTTTGGGATCATTGAGGAGATTTTGGAGATTGACTGTGTTTCTTTTAAAGTGTCTTTATTTAAGTACAAGTGGATTGACAGTAACACTGGTGTAGAAATCGATAAATTAGGATTCACACGGGTTGATATTTGAAATGCAACTTATAAGAACGAACCATTTATCATGGCAACCCAAGCAAAATAATTTTTTTATGTCATTGATCCTTCTAACACTAGATGATCAGTTGTTCTTCAAGGAAAACATATTCCTGATAGTACTGATGAGATGCCTTATTTAGCAACACATGTATGTCAATCATCTGAACAACATGATTCAAATGATGTGCATGTTATTCTTCGTGATCGTGAAGATGGGATATAGAAAAACTATTAAATAAATGGTTAATTTCTTTTGTTTCTTAATCATTTGTTTTAGTTTTGATGTAATTTTGGGTTTGCATTTAGTGTAATCAATGAATATGTGTGTTACAATGTTTCAGATTGAGGAATTGGCAAAATGTACAATGTCTCTGTTTTAGGAATCTGTAAAATATGGTTCTATATTCTAGAATATGGTTGTGTAATACAGGTGCAAATAACAGTACAAAAAATGTATCCCTTTGGTTTTTACACTAAACTAAGGTAATAACATTGAGATATTACCTCGGTTCTACAAAATGTAGTGTTAATATTGGGCGCGCCATCCAGTTCTAAAAATAATAAAAATGCTGATGCTGGGGATCGAACTCGTGCAAATAACTTTATCCCTAAATGTTTTAGTAACTGAGGTGTTAAGTGGTAGCCTTTCATGGCGCCCTTTGTTACCTCGCTTCCGCCGTTGAGGTCAAATGCATTCTGCGTCCAACGTTAGATGTGTTTTTGTATTAGTGTGATGATTTCGAATAAACCTGAGGATGAAGACACCAAATTATGTTACTATCGCTAGACAAATTATAAAAAAAATGGAACATCTTATTCTCCAAAAATTTCTAATCCACTCCTCTTGTTCTACGTTTCGAAGCTTTTAAGCATCGACTTCATAACTCGACTTTCTGAAGCAGTTTGGGGTTTTATATCCACCTCGAATTTGACACACTCTTGAATAGAAACTATAACTACGAAAAGAATAAAAAAAGAGAAAAGGAGTCGAGATACTAATGTGATTGCTAACAAATTGAGAACAAGAAAGAGAATTAATGAAGAGAACACATGATAATTCTATGTAGGAGTAGATATTGAACTAATTTAAAATAGCAAAGGGATTTGCTTCTTTTTTTTAAAAGACAAGACACAAGACATGCCAAGCCAGATACAAAAATTACTCTCCAATTCAGATACCGATCATAACAGCTACCCTAAAAGAACAACAGACAATAAGAGGCAAGTAGCAGCACACCTAAAACAAAACAAAGGTCCCAAGT